TATGGTCTGTCTGACAAGTTCTGAGAGACAATGTATGGTCTGTCTGACAAGTTCTGAGAGACAATGTATGGTCTGTCTGACAAGTTCTGAGAGACGGTGTATGGTCTGTCTGACAAGTTCTGAGAGACGGTGTATGGTCTATCTGACAAGTTCTGAGAGACAATGTATGGTCTGACTGACCAGTTCTGAGAGACAATGTATGGTCTGACTGACCAGTTCTGAGAGACAATGTATGGTCTGACTGACCAGTTCTGAGAGACAATGTACAGTCTGTCTGACAAGTTCTGAGAGACAATGAATTCCAAGTTGTTGGAGTTTTGAGGCGTTTGAATTCCAAGCTGTTGGAGTTTTGAGGCATTGGGATTCTGTTCACCACCAAGTCATGCAGAACCCGCCAGTCTATCTGCCTGCTCATTTCCCAATTTGCATGACCTGAAGAGAATATCCAAAGGATACTAACTACCTGGGACCTCTGAAGTGATATGTGCCACTCTACACAGAGCATACTTGTCTCCACCTTTCTCAACATGCGGTATGAGTCAGTGACAATCACAGCATGTATGTACAGCTGATTCTCCAGCCAGCGGAAGGCAGCAGTGACTGCCTCCACCTCAATTCTCAAACTAGACATTGCGATATCATATACCAGGCTTTAACCACCTAACTATAGTTTACAGATGGGTTAGTAATTCGGGGCAAGCGAAGTGCATGGGCAATCAGAGTAAGCTCAAGGGGGAAAAACCATCAAGGAGATGAATGGCACCTTTGCTGTTACAACTTACAATGGAAACTATGGCTTGGTACTCAAAAGTTAACACACGTATGCATTCTTAGTGACTCGAATATGCTTAAAAAAAATCTAACCTAGATTTATCAGGCAAGAATGGATTGCAACATTAAGCACTTCACAAATATCCGTCCTAACCATCTTTGTGCCAGGTCATGCGGGTGTTCAAGAAAACGAGCGTGCAGACTATCTTACTGACACTGCAGTTGCTATGGCTGGCCCAGTACTGGACAGAAGTGATGTTATCAATGCTATGCTCTGCACTTACCGTACCGAGGAGCACGCCAAAAGACATGAGTCTGTATCCCTGTCTAGACTGATGGACATGGGGGTGCAGCCCGGAGCTGCAAGATGAACATTTCACTAAGGGGACAAGACGTTTCATTAACCAACACAGAACAGGCATCATCAGTCGTTTTACACTTGTGGAGCTTCTGAGGAGATAGGAGCACCTATGGATCTGTCCAGAGTGCTGTGATGATAATCTTTTCTAATCACTAACATTTGGACACTACATTGTGAGCTGGCTATTGTTTCATTTGTTATGTGGATGTTTTCCACAAAGTTCTTGTTAACAGTCCTGCAGATTTTGTTTTCATCCTCCTCTTTTTAATCACATTTGTTGTCTGGTAGGGGGAAAACAGTGGCTGGTCTCACCATATACTCGAGGGAGGGGAGGGTTCCACCTGTAAAAAGATTCATGATCACTGACCTAAAAGTAGACAAAATCGGTCAAGTTCATGATTATCATCCTGTGAACCTTTGACAGTCACATCTGAAGGTCTGTGCCACACAAAGATAAAGACAAGATGCAGCAAACAGACATTCTTGAAACAGAGTAACAAGTACACACATCTGTTTACTAATCAGCCTTCATCATTTATAACCTAAATCAACTCTTACCAGGTAGCAGACATCACTAGAGTCATAGTGGTCCACTCATACGTGTGGTGTCCACACAGTGATTGTGTTCCACTGAGATGTGTGGTGTCCACAGTGATTGTGTTCCACTGAGATGTGTGGTGTCCACGGTGATTGTGTTCCACTGAGATGTGTGGTGTCCACACAGTGATTGTGTTCCACTGATGTGTGGTGTCCACACAGTGGTTGTGTTCCACTGAGATGTGTGGTGTCCACAGTGGTTGTGTTCCACTGAGATGTGAGGTGTCCACACAATGATTGTGTTCTACTGAGATATGTGGTGTCCACACAGTGATTGTGTTCCACTGAGATGTGAGGTGTCCACACAGTGGTTGTGTTCCACTGAGATGTGTGATGTCCACACAGTGATTGTGTTCCACTGAGATGTGTGGTGTCCACACAGTGATTGTGTTCCACTGAGATGTGTGGTGTCCACACAGTGATTGTGTTCCACTGAGATGTGTGGTGTCCACACATTGATTGTCTTACACTGAGATGTGAGGTGTCCACACAATGATTGTGTTCCACTGATATGGGTGTTGTCCATAGTGATTGTGTCACACTAATATGTGAGGTGTCCTGTGAGATTGTGTTTCACTATGTGTGTGGTGTTCACAGTGATTGTATTACACTGAGATGTGTGGTGTCCACAGATGTGTTCAGGGATTGTGTGGTGTCCACAGTGATTGTGTTACACAGATATGTGTGGTGTCCACAGTGATTGTGTTACATTGACGTGTCTGGTGTCCAGTGGCTGTGTTACACAGATGTGTCCAGTGATTGTGTTACACTGATGTGTGTGATGTCCGGTGATCACTATCGCATAGCCTGTGTCAAAATCTCAGTCTCATCAAGAGAAAATATTAAACATTCTAAGATACACTGAATGGGTACCGCTGTTGGAAATATATAACACCAGGCGCCCGGACACATGCATGGACCCAGTTCCGTGACAGGAAACATGTATACTTGGTGCTGAATCATTTACAAACAATATGTATAGTATATATGTATAGGAGTATAGGACCCTTTCCACGCCTTTAGGCCTATAGGGCATATAGGGCTAGACCTATATTTTTATAGACCAACGGCACAAGATGGGTGATGTCGTCAGCATCACGCCGGCCGCCTCTACTTCCCGGGATTGCACCCGGTACCCACTCAAGGCTGGGTCGACCTGGGAGCCAAGGTCATTTTTGAAGAAAAGTCCATCTCCGCCAGGAAGCGAAACAAACAATATGTGCACAAACAATATGTGAACAAACAACTCTAACCAGCAAATTACTGACAGTCAGATTTATTATTTCAATTGATTGATTAAAAAAATACTAACACAAAGTAGGAACAATTTGAGGACAGTGCTGGATCACAGGACTAAATGTACACTAAACTGTCTAGCAACAAACCAGAATTAGCTAGCAACCACATCAGCTTGACTTGTGATGCAGGTCATGTCAGACGCCACTAGGCTTACAAAACCAAAGTCCACAGAAATCCTCAGAAAGACGGATGATGATATAACCACAGAGGAGAACAGGCAGGAGACTCTGCAGGACAACAAACATCTTCCGTTGCAGTCTACAGACATCACCAGCTGCCCTTGTCACATTGTGAGGTCCTCCACGACAAGATGATACAACACCACCAGTGGTCAAAACTCAATCAGGAAATGATAACATGTGTCAACATAGAACAGCAACAAGTCACAGTCACAAAACAAGAGTCAACTGAATATGTGTGTCACAAACTAGCTTTACCCATGACAAACTGTCACAAACTAGTTTTACACATGACAAACTGTCACAAACTAGCTTTACACCTGACAAACTGTCACAAACTAGCTTTACACCTGACAAACTGTCACAAACTAGCTTTACACATGACAAACTGTCACAAACTAGCTTTACACCTGACAAACTGTCACAAACTAGCTTTACACATGACAAACTGTCACAAACTAGCTTCAGCACTGTCTGCCTCTCACAAAATAGCCTCAAAACAGTCACAAACTAAATATTCAGGCTAAAAATTACATCTATTGAACCGCAGCCCCTACCCACAATCTATTTAGAGTAACTAATTTGATTCATGTCCAAAGACATGCATGAAAGAGTTACTGCCTGATGCCCTGAGTGGACGTGACCATGGGCCAACAGAACCTAGCCACATCTTGTACACAAACAAGCTAACACACGTGGACCATCTTGTACACAAACAAGCTAACACACGTGGACCATCTTGTACACAAACAAGCTAACACACATGGACCATCTTGTACACAAACAAGCTAACACACATGGACCATCTTGTACACAAACAAGCTAACACACATGGACCATCTTGTACACAAACAAGCTAACACACATGGACGTGGACCATCTTGTACACAAACAAGCTAACACACATGGACGTGGACCATCTTGTACACAAACAAGCTAACACACATGGACGTGGACCATCTTGTACACAAACAAGCTAACACACATGGACATGGACCATTTTGTACACAAACAAGCTAACACATATGGACATGGACCATCTTGTACACAAACAAGCTAACACACATGGACGTGGACCATCTTGTACACAAACAAGCTAACACACATGGACCATGGGCCAACAGAACCTAGCAAACATGGGTGTCAATGTATACAAGGTCATGTACAATTACTGCAGCCTAATACTGGAAATAATTTTACAGCTAACTGCTACATACTACAAAGCAATAGCTGCACTACAGCTAAAGCTACTGGTGCTCAGTCTCACACAAAGGATGTCAACTGGATCCAGCCTCTGACAACACAAGTTAAACACATCACCTATACATGAACACACCCTTCTCAGTCTCCAGATGAACAAGAGTTAACACCAGCCTCTAATCAACAGCAGACGGAGATGCTAGGAACAAGAGTTAACACCAGCCTCTAATCAACAGCAGACGGAGATGCTAGGAACAAGAGTTACCAGCCTCTAATCAACAGCAGACGGAGATGCTAGGAACAAGAGTTAACACCAGCCTCTGATCAACAGCAGACGGAGATGCTAGGAACAAGAGTTAACACCAGCCTCTAATCAACAGCAGACGGAGATGCTAGGAACACTCTGCTTGTTACCATGACTACCCTACCCCCCACAAGTGTCAATTATTGTGAAAGTTTGATCCCCAAGAACATGAACAATTAAGACATGAATAAAAGCATCAAAACAAAGCAACATTCATATAGACAAGAACAACAAGAACATGTCCATACACATGCTTGCAGCCACAGCTAGAAATAAAAAAGAACATATATCAATGTTCCATCTTGTCTGGTTCCATGCTGGCTCCTGCTAACTTGCCGTCTGCCTCCCTGTCCTTGACCCCTTCAGCCGAAGAAGCGTCACCTTTAAGATTGGCTGGGGATGGCACCGCTGCGGAACAGAGTAGCAGACTAGGCTTCTAAGGTCGGGTCACAACATCTTCTATCAACTCAATACTTTATGTTAATATTTTACAGTCAAATGCTAAAGGTCACACCACACAGTCCTGTTAGATTACACGCTGGTTGTTGTTACAGAATGTGTCGACCCATGGTTGTATGTGAGGCATCGCCTGTTTCTACATTTGACTGTAAAGTATCATATATATAACAACATTTGACTGTAGTAAAGTATCATATGTATATCTACATTTGACTGTAGTAAAGTATCATATGTATATCAACATTTGACTGTAAAGTATCAAAGGTATATCAACATTTGACTGTAAAGTATCATGTGTATATCAACATTTGACTGTAAAGTATCATATGTATATCAACATTTGACTGTAAAGTATCATATGTATATCAACATTTGACTGTAAAGTATCAAAGGTATATCAACATTTGACTAAAGTATCATATGTATATCAACATCTGACTGTAAAGTATCATATGTATATCAACATTTGACTGAAAAGTATATGTGTATTATATCTACATTAGACTATAAAGTATCATGTGTATTATATCTGCATTTGACTGTTAAGTATATACAACTGACTCTGGGCAAGGTCTTAGATACGACTCGGCTACTGTCAAATAGTAAGTCAGTACAGCCTGATCGTTGATAACCCCGCTTGTTGGGTGGGTAGACTAAACTTGACATTCAAGGTGTGCCAATGGCTTTTGGTGAAGTGGTTTGGGAAAGGTTTTAGCCTGATTCTATGAAGAGGAAATACAACTCAAAAACTTATATTAAGGAGGGTCTCTCAGCCTTGGTCTCAACATGACTGGCCAGGCTGTGTGCTATAGTTATAGGCTTGGTCTCGACACAACTGGCCAGGCTGTGTGCTATAGTTATAGGCTTGGTCTCAACATGACTGGCCAGACTGTGTGCTTTGTTTACAGGCTTGGTCTCAACATGACTGGCCAGGCTGTGTGCTATAGTTATAGGCTTGGTCTCAACATGACTGGCCAGGCTGTGTGCTATAGTTATAGGCTTGGTCTCAACATGACTGGCCAGACTGTGTGCTTTGTTTACAGGCTTGGTCTCAACATGACTGGCCAGGCTGTGTGGTATAGTTATAGGCTTGGTCTCAACATGACTGGCCAGGCTGTGTGCTATATAAATAGGCTTGGTCTCAACATGACTGGCCGGGCTGTGTGCTATAGTTGTAGGCATGGTCTCAACATGACTGGCCATGGGTGTGTGCTATGTTTACAGGCTTGGTCTCAACACAACTGGCCATGGTTTTGTGCTATATTTACAGGCTTGGTCTTGACATGACTGGCCAGGCTGTGTGCTATAGTTACAGGCTTGGTCTCAACATGACTGGCCAGGCTGTGTGCTATAGTTACAGGCTTGGTCTCAACATGACTGGCCAGGCTCTGTGCTATGTTTACAGGCTTGGTCTCAACATGACTGGCCAGGCTGTGTGCTATAGTTGTAGGCTTGGTCTCAACATGACTGGCCAGGCTGTGTGCTATGTTTACAGGCTTGGTCTCAACATGACTGGCCAGGCTGTGTGCTATGTTTACAGGCTTGAATTCCCATGGCCAACTTTAGCACAAAGGAAAGCCCATCTGAAAAGACGGGGAAGTGCCAACAACATTTGACTGTAAGGTATCATGAGTGTCTATGTGTGTGAGGTGGTTCTCATCAAATCTTTCAATGACCAAACATGGGATGAAGATGACCATGTGTCCAATCTCTGTCTGATGCAACACTAGCTAAACGGATGCAACATATGGTGGCTGTTTTAGCATAACTGATGCAACATATGGTGGCTGTTTTAGCATAACTGATGCGACATATGGTGGCTGTTTTAGCATAACTGATGCGACATATGGTGGCTGTTTTAGCATAACTGATGCAACATATGGTGGCTGTTTTAGCATAACTGATGCAACATATGGTGGCTGTTTTAGCACAACTGATGCGACATATGGTGGCTGTTTTAGCACAACTGATGCGACATATGGTGGCTGTTTTAGCATAACTGATGCGACATATGGTGGCTGTTTTAGCATAACTGATGCAACATATGGTGGCTGTTTTAGCATAACTGATGCAACATATGGTGGCTGTTTTAGCACAACTGATGCGACATATGGTGGCTGTTTTAGCACAACTGATGCGACATATGGTGGCTGTTTTAGCACAACTGATGCGACATATGGTGGCTGTATTAGCACAACTGATGCGACATATGGTGGCTGTTTTAGCATAACTGATGCGACAAATGGTTGTTTTAGACTGAAGCACCATTTGGTGCAAACATAACTGATGCAACAATTGGTGGTTGTACTAGCATAAGTGATGCAATCAACATACTAGCATACTGATATAAAATATGGCAGTACACTAGCATAACTGATGCAAATACGACATAACAAATGAACATAGCATAACTCTAAGTCTGTTGACACCAGCTATCTCTATCTAGGATCAGTCAAAAAAAATTATAAAATGTTAAAATTTACTAGATGACAGATTTTTTTAACCATAAGCACTGAACAATAATAAAGAATGTATGTACGTAAGTTGTACCCCACCAGGACACCAAACTAAGCGATAATACCCAGTGACACAAAGTGTTATGCAGATGAGGATCACACGCAAAAATCTCAGAAACCCTGTTTAACCGTTAGGCCATATTTATGGACGCCTACAAAAGCCAGGGTGGGGCTTCAAATAATGAAAAATGGCATCCCACATGGTAACGGTTACAACAACAGTGAAGTGTTTACAGTGACTGTGAAGAAGAGAAAAACTGCAATACAACAGTGAGAAACCAATCTGCTTCACAAATGTCTATATCTTACAACATGGCTTTGATAGAAAATGTAAAAATTCACCTTTCTTGTCAGAAACAGGAAGTGCTTTATCATCTCTGTGGAAGAAATAATGAGCAAACAGTTGTTGTTTGTGGCTTGGTCGAGATGGCAGCTAACACAGGACAGTCAGAACTACAGCACAGGACAGTCAGAACTACAGCACAGAACAGTCAGAACTACAGCATAGGCAGGCACATCATCATCTATGTCACACAGGAAATTTCAACATCATCTATGTCACACAGGACATATCCACATCATCAATGTCACACAGGACATATCCACATCATCAATGTCACACAGGACGTATCCACATCATCAATGTCACACAGGACGTATCCACATCATCAACGTCACATAGGATGTATCCACATCATCATCACACAGGACATATCATCCATGTCACACAGGACATATCATCCATGTCACACAGGACATATCCACATCATCAATATCACACAGGACATTTCAACATCATCCATGTCACACAGGACATATTATCCATGTCACACAGGACATAACATTAAAAACAAGCACAACACTGACTTGTCTGAGCTGGCTCTGAAGTCATCTTTAACATCTGACGATTCCTTCTTGACCTCTTTGTCATCTTTCTTTGCTTCTAAACAAACAGAAAGTAGCAGAAGAAACCATTAGCATAATTCAAATAAAGTAACAGGAAATGAGACAGTATTACCCAAAAGCTAATCCCATGAATAAGAAAACAAACATGGCAATATGGGAAGCTAGGCAGCCCTCATGACTGCACACATGTGAAAACTTTATTGTCAGACACCTTGTACACCAAACATATATGAAAGGGAAGCTAGGCAGCAGAGACATGTGTGCAGCTGACAGAGATACAAGTGTCTATGTGCATGCCAGCAAACGTTTCAGGTAGAAGGCCAAAACTTTAGATGTAACATTGCAATCCAGGTGTTATCTAGACAGCAAAGACAATGTATCAATAGGTGGTGGTTTGTATTATAATTCTGTTGTGTGCATAGTATAGAGTCTCCAGCCTGAATTTATATGGAAACTAGCAATACAAAGCAACTGTGATTGTGGGAAGTTGCAACAGCAGCAGCTAATATGATAAGCAGATCAGCTGGCTTCTGCACTAGTCTACTGGCATTAGCTGAGAACTGACCAATAACAGACTACATCAACCTGTGACGACCACTGGATAATATCAAGTTGTAAACAGGCAGATGATCAAATACCAAGAAGAGTAAAACATACAATTTGTTTCCCAAAGAAAAGGTCAAATTACTGTCTGCATGTATTGTCTGCGGAATAAGTCTGCATGATGACATCATCCGAGTCTTTATGGTGGCACATCAAGTGAGTCCATCTGCAGGATGATCGAGCTGACATGTAGCTCTGTGTCTGCTGCATTTTGTGCTTTAATGGGTGAGGAAGAAATCAGAAAAAGTTTATCGAGCAGAGTAACTATATGTAAAGCAGATTCCTATATTACCTTTCTCAGCATCTTTTTTATCATCAGCATCCGTCTTTTGTCTCTTCTTTTTGTATTCTCTTCTGTCTTTCCTGCCACCATCCTCATCTTCACTGTCAGAGAACTCCTCCTCACAAGCTATCCGCTTGTCCGTCTGCCTGACTAGAATACATCAACACAGATTCAACATTGGCTTACTGCGCTCTTTTGATTCTTATTGAACAGTTGAGTGCTACACAATGATCAGTAACTATGATCCCCAGAAACAATGATCCCCAGTAACCAGAAACAATGATCCCCCGTAACCAGAAACAATAGTCCCCAGTAACCAGAAACAATGATCCCCAGTAACCAGAAACAATGATCCCCAGTAACCAGAAACAATGATCCCCAGTAACCAGAAACAATGGTCCCAGTAACCAGAAACAATGGTCCCCAGTAACCAGAAACAATGGTCCCCAGTAACCAGAAACAATGATCCCCAGTAACCAGAAACAATGATCCCCAGTAACCAGAAACAATGGTCCCAGTAACCAGAAACAATGGTCCCCAGTAACCAGAAACAATGATCCCCAGTAACCAGAAACAATGGTCCCAGTAACCAGAAACAATGGTCCCCAGTAACCAGAAACAATGATCCCCAGTAACAATGGTCCCAGTAACCAGAAACAATGGTCCCCAGTAACCAGAAACAATGGTCCCAGTAACCAGAAACAATGATCCCCAGTAACAATGATCCCCAGTAACCAGAAACAATGGTCCCAGTAACCAGAAACAATGATCCCCAGTAACCAGAAACAATGGTCCCCAGTAACCAGAAACAATGGTCCCCAGTAACCAGAAACAATGGTCCCCAGTAACCAGAAACAATGATCCCCAGTAACCAGAAACAATTATCCCCAGTAACCAGAGACTATGATCCCCAGTGACCAAAAAACAATGATCCCCAGTAACCAGAAACAATGATCCCCAGTAACCAGAAACAATGATCCCCAGTAACCAGAAACAATGGTCCCAGTAACCAGAAACAATGGTCCCCAGTAACCAGAAACAATGATCCCCAGTAACCAGAAACAATGATCCCCAGTAACCAGAAACAATGGTCCCAGTAACCAGAAACAATGGTCCCCAGTAACCAGAAACAATGGTCCCCAGTAACAATGATCCCCAGTAACCAGAAACAATGGTCCCAGTAACCAGACACAATGGTCCCCAGTAACCAGAAACAATGATCCCCAGTAACAATGGTCCCAGTAACCAGAAACAATGGTCCCCAGTAACCAGAAACAATGATCCCTAGTAACCAGAAACAATGGTCCCCAGTAACCAGAAACAATGGTCCCCAGTAACCAGAAACAATTATCCCCAGTAACCAGAGACTATGATCCCCAGTGACCAAAAAACAATGATCCCCAGTGACCAAAAAACAATGATCCCCAGTAACCAGAAACAATGATCCCCAGTAACCAGAGACTATGATCCCCAGTGACCAAAAAACAATGATCCCCAGTAACCAGAAACAATGATCCCCAGTAACCAGAAACAATGGTCCACAGTAAACAGAAACAATGGTCCCCAGAAACAATGGTCCCCAGTAACCAGAAACAATGGTCCCCAGTAACCAGAAACAATGGTCCCCAGTAACAATGGTCCCCAGTAACAATGGTCCCCAGTAACCAGTAACAATGGTCCCCAGTAACAATGGTCCCCAGTAACCAAAAAACAATGATCCTCAGTAACCAGAAACTATGATCCCCAGTAACCAAAAAACAATGGTCCCCAGTAACCAAAAAACAATGGTCCCCAGTAACCAAAAAACAATGATCCCCAGTAACCAGAAACAATGATCCCCAGTAACCAGAAACAATGATCCCCGGTAACCAGAAACAATGATCCCCAGTAACCAGAAACAATGATCCCCAGTAACCAGAAACTATGATCCCCAGTAACCAGAAACTATGATCCCCAGTAACAATGATCCTCAGTAACAATGGTCCCCAGTAACCAGAAACAATGATCCCCAGTAAACAGAAACAATGATCCCCAGTAACAATGACTCCAGGAACAAGAATGGGGGAATGGACTTACTAGATATTCTTTGGTCTGGATTCGCCTTGTCCTCGTCGTCACTTTCATCATTTAGTGCATCTTCTGGAATGGCTATAGAGAAAAAAAATAAAAACAACTAAACTAAACTGAGATGACACAATTCATCAACTTTAAATCACTGCACATGAAACAGAGAACATTGGTACCCACAGGCATCAATCTCTAGAGCTGGCAACAAACTGTGATTATCACCTGCTGCTGGTGGTTGCTGTACCCATGCAGCCTCCCCCCCCCCCCCCCGGCACAATGAGACCTGAGAGCCAACAAATATCCATGTGCTGGTGGTTGCTGTATCCATGCAGCCCCCCCCCCCCCTTGCACAATGAGACCTGAGAGCCAACAAATATCCATGTGCTGGTGGTTGCTGTATCCATGCAGCCCCCCCCCCCCTGCACAATGAGACCTGAGAGCCAACAAATATCCATGTGCTGGTGGTTGCTGTATCCATGCAGCCCCCCCCCCCCCCCCAATGAGACCTGGGAGCCAACAAATATCCATGTGCTGGTGGTTGCTGTATCCATGCAGCTGTAGTCTAACAATAAGTACACAATGTGACATCAGATGTCATGAACTGCTGTAGTCTAACATCAAGTACACAATGTGACATCAGATGTCATGAACTGCTGTAGTCTAACATCAAGTACACAATGTGACATCAAATGTCATGAACTGCTCTGAAACGTATCCTGTTTTCACTCTGTCAGTGGCCTATACGACAACTGCTTACCTTGCATCTGTACACCTGGTGCATGAGGCAACATTCTCAGGTTCTCAAACAGGCGGGTCCTGAAATGTTAACAACAAACGTATCAATTAGAATTCAAATGTCTCCACCTTGTTAGCATACAGCAGCGGTAAACTCTGGTCAAGAGTTCTGGTCGTTGGTTCACCTTGTTAGCATACAGCAGCGGTAAACTCTGGCCAAGAGTTCTGGTCGTTGGTTCACCTTGTCAGCATACAGCAGCGGTAAACTCTGGCCAAGAGTTCTGGTCATTGGTTCACCTTGTCAGCATACAGCAGCTGTAAACTCTGGCCAAGAGTTCTGGTCGTTGGTTCACCTTGTCAGCATACAGCAGCGGTAAACTCTGGCCAAGAGTTCTGGTCGTTGGTTAAACTTGTCAGCATACAGCAGCGGTAAACTCTGGCCAAGAGTTCTGGTCGTTGGTTCACCTTGTCAGCATACAGCAGCGGTAAACTCTGGTCAAGAGTTCTGGTCGTTGGTTCACCTTGTTAGCATACAGCAGCGGTAAACTCTGGTCAAGAGTTCTGGTCGTTGGTTCACCTTGTTAGCATACAGCAGCGGTAAACTCTGGCCAAGAGTTCTGGTCGTTGGTTCACCTTGTCAGCATACAGCAGCGGTAAACTCTGGCCAAGAGTTCTGGTCGTTGGTTCACCTTGTTAGCATACAGCAGCGGTAAACTCTGGCCAAGAGTTCTGGTCGTTGGTTCACCTTGTTAGCATACAGCAGCGGTAAACTCTGGCCAAGAGTTCTGGTCGTTGGTTCACCTTGTCAGCATACAGCAGCGGTAAACTCTGGTCAAGAGTTCTGGTCGTTGGTTCACCTTGTTAGCATACAGCAGCGGTAAACTCTGGTCAAGAGTTCTGGTCGTTGGTTCACCTTGTTAGCATACAGCAGCGGTAAACTCTGGTCAAGAGTTGTGGTCGTTGGTTCACCTTGTCAGCATACAGCAGCGGTAAACTCTGGTCAAGAGTTCTGGTCGTTGGTTCACCTTGTCAGCATACAGCAGCGGTAAACTCTGGCCAAGAGTTCTGGTCGTTGGTTCACCTTGTTAGCATACACCAGCGGTAAACTCTGGTCAAGAGTTCTGGTCGTTGGTTCACCTTGTTAGCATACAGCAGCGGTAAACTATGGTCAAGAGTTGTGGTCGTTGGTTCACCTTGTTAGCATACAGCAGCGGTAAACTCTGGTCAAGAGTTCTGGTCCTTGGTTCACCTTGTCAGCATACAGCAGCGGTAAACTCTGGCCAAGAGTTCTGGTCGTTGGTTCACCTTGTCAGCATACAGCAGCGGTAAACTCTGGCCAAGAGTTCTGGTCGTTGGTTCACCTTGTCAGCATACAGCAGCGGTAAACTCTGGCCAAAAGTTCTGGTCGTTGGTTCACCTTGTTAGCATACACCAGCGGTAAACTCTGGTCAAGAGTTCTGGTCGTTGGTTCACCTTGTTAGCATACAGCAGCGGTAAACTCTGGTCAAGAGTTCTGGTCGTTGGTTCACCTTGTCAGCATACAGCAGCGGTAAACTCTGGCCAAGAGTTCTGGTCGTTGGTTCACCTTGTCAGCATACAGCAGCGGTAAACTCTGGTCGTTGGTTCACCTTGTCAGCATACAGCAGCGGTAAACTCTGGCCAAGAGTTCTGGTCGTTGGTTGACCTTTGCACTTTAGTCTTGCTCCAGACACCTGAGTGCTGCATGCACATCCGCTTTACAGACCTGTCTTGTTTGTATGCTGATCGTTAATTGATCACCTGTCTTGTTTGTATGCTGATCGTTAATTGATCACCTGTCTTGTTTGTATGCTGATCGTTAATTGATCACCTGTCTTGTTTGTATGCTGATCGTTAATTGATCACCTGTCTTGTATGTATGCTGATCGTTAATTGATCACCTGTCTTGTTTGTATGCTGATCGTTAATTGATCACCTGTCTTGTTTGTATGCTGATCGTTAATTGATCACCTGTCTTGTTTGTATGCTGATCGTTAATTGATCACCTGTCTTGTTTGTATGCTGATCGTTAATTGATCACCTGTCTTGTTTGTATGCTGATCGTTAATTGATCACCTGTCTTGTTTGTATGCTGATCGTTAATTGATCACCTGTCTTGTTTGTATGCTGATCGTTAATTGATCATCTGTCTTGTTTGTATGCTGATCGTTAATTGATCACGTCTTGTTTGTATGCTGATCGTTAATTGATCACCTGTCTTGTTTGTATGCTGATCGTTAATTGATCACCTGTCTTGTTTGTATGCTGATCGTTAATTGATCATCTGTCTTGTTTGTATGCTGATCGTTAATTGATCATCTGTCTTGTTTGTATGCTGATCGTTAATTGATCACCTGTCTTGTTTGTATGCTGATCGTTAATTGATCACCTGTCTTGTTTGTATGCTGATCGTTAATTGATCACCTGTCTTGTTTGTATGCAGATCGTTAATTGATCACCTGTCTTGTTTGTATGCTGATCGTTAATTGATCACCTGTCTTGTTTGTATGCTGATCGTTAATTGATCACCTGTCTTGTTTGTATGCTGATCGTTAATTAATCATGTCTTATTTGTATGCAGACCGTTAATTAATCATCTGTCTTTGTATGCAGACCGTTAATTAATCACCTGTCTTGTTTGTATGCTGATCGTTAATTAATCATGTCTTATTTGTATGCAGACCGTTAATTAATCATCTGTCTTTGTATGCAGACCGTTAATTAATCATCTGTCTTTGTATGCAGACCGTTAATTAATCACCCGTCTTGTTAGTATGCAGATCGTTAATTAATCATCTGTCTTATTTGTATACAGATCGTTAATTAATCATCTGTCTTATCTGTATGCAGATCGTTAATTAATCATCTGTCTTGTTTGTATGCAGATCGTTAATTAATCATCTGTCTTGTTTGTATGCAGATCGTTAATTAATCATCTGTCTTGTTTGTGTGCAGATCGTTAATTAATCATCTGTCTTATCTGTATGCAGATCGTTAAAAAATCATCTGTCTTTTTTGTATGCAGATCGTTAATTAATCATCTGTCTTGTGTGTATGCAGATCGTTAATTAATCATCTGTCTTGTTTGTATGCTGATCATTAATGAATCACCTTCCAGGCAGATGGTTAATGAATCACCTTCCAGGCAGATTGTTAATGAATCACCTTCCAGGCAGATTGTTAATGAATCACCTTCCAGGCAGATTGTTAATGAATCACCTTCCAGGCAGATGGTTAATGAATCACCTTCCAGGCAGATGGTTAATGAATCACCTTCCAGGCAGATGGTTAATGAATCACCTTCCAGGCAGATGGTTAATGAATCACCTTCCAGGCAGATGGTTAATGAATCACCTTTGATGCAGATGCACTCGACTTCCAAAGAAACACCCATAGTTAGTCACCATGCAAGACATGCCTGTTAGGGAGGAGGCAGCTCAAGTCTATTCTCCCCGTTGTTCCTCCAGGCCCCCCCCCCCCCCCCCAATGTAACCCCGGAACCCACACGGGAGATCTCTAATATTTCAAAACTGACACAGCAACAACAAATATTTTAGCTGCGAAATTATCAGTTCTATAGTTTTCTAACCAAATGTCAAATATTTGTTTCTCTAGGTAGAACAGGAAACAGACAAGCATGACATAAACAGAAGACAGACAAGCATGACATAAACAGAAGACAGACAAGCATGGCATAAACAGGAGACAGACAAGCATGACAAACAGAAGACAGACAAGCATGACATAAACAGAAGACAGACAAGCATGACATAAACAGAAGACAGACAAGCATGACATAAACAGAAGACAGACAAGCATGAAATGAACAGAAGACAGACAGACAAGCATGACATAAACAGAAGACAGACAAGCATGACATAAACAGAAGACAGACAAGCATGACACAAAAAGAAGACAGACAGACAAGCATGACACAAAAAGAAGACAGACAGACAAGCATGACATAAATAGAAGACAGACAAGCATGACATAAACAGAAGACAGACAGACTGAGACAAGCATGACATAAACAGAAGACAGACAGACAAGCATGACAAACAGAAGACAGACAAGCATGACATAAACAGAAGACAGACAAGCATGACATAAATAGAAGACAGACAGACAAGCATGACATAAACAGAAGACAGACTTGAACTGGAAGCACTCACTTAATTTTGTCCATGTATTCTGGTGTGTTCTGATTGGCCATGTTCGACGGGCTGATGTGCAACTTAAAGTCTGGTCCATAGTACTCAAAGTAATCATTGTAAGGTAATTCTGTAAACATAATAATAATTGCAAGGCAATTTTATGAAGTAGTAATTTTAGGCAATTTTATCTATTTAAAAAAAAAAAATGCTAGCACAGAGCACACAAAAATGAAAAACAATCAAATAAAAACACTGTCAAGAGAAAGACAGAGAAAAATTCCAGAGAGATGAGATAGCCTAGAAAGCAGACCACCAGAGAGACATCATGGTAACCATATCAACTGCACTGTTCAAGAATGTGTCTACCCACCATTGGCCACGTCACAGTTGAGAGCTATAGAAGTCTCGTAAGTCCAGCACCGGGCCACATTTCTGATGGTGTATCCACCGCCACCCAGCAACAGGACTGGCAGGTTCCACTTCTTGATAAACTCCACACATTTGCCATGACCTGCATAAGGGAAAATAAAAACAACTGTAGTGACTGCACATTAAACAAAAGATCTCCAACAGGTAACTTATCGGTTCAAGCAGCACACACACACACACAAGAATGGTCTTTCCCCAAACCGCCCAGCAGGACTGGAACTGTAGCGCAGATACAATGCTGCAGACACAAACAATCTAACATACTCCCCAATCAATCAATAAGCTAGCACGGCAGTATGCTGGAACATTCTATATGCATGGAAACAACAGAAGATCTACCACTCAGAAAACACTGAATAAAAAACAACTGCCTCTGCTATTAGCAGCTGAGCCAGTACACAGACACAGCAGATGTTGACAAACCTTTGAGGGTCAAGTTGAAGCAGCCAAGCCTGTCCCCAGACAAGGAGTCAGCTCCACACTGAAGCACTATAGCACTTGGCTGGTACATCTCCATGACTCGTGTGATCACCTGCAGAAATCAGAGTGGCAAGTTGAGCTCATGACACTGCAGCACAACAAAGAAGAAACACTGAATATTCCACAAATATTATTTTTTAAATTCATCCTGTTCAGATAAACTGTTAAGTGGGTGGCAATGAGTGTTACATATTCTACTGATTATTCTAAACTGGGAAAGGCAGCCATCCCATGCTGACACAGACTTCTGTAATGAACTCTTCAATAAGAGCTATGATGCTATTCTATGTTGGCATCAGCTACAGAGACAGGAAACAGCAACAATGCCAGAGGTGTAACTTACAGGTTTAAAGATGCTCTCATACGACTCATCATCAATGCCATCTCGTAGAGGAAAGTTGACAGCGTAGTACTTGCCCTTGCCTGCACCAATGTCCTGCAGAACACAAACATCCAACATGAAACTATAAGGACTGATTCAGTCACATCAGACAACACAAACATCCAACATGAAACTATAAGGACTGATTCAGTCACATCAGACAACACAAACATCCAACATGAAACTATAAGGACTGATTCAGTCACATCAGACAACACAAACATCCAACATGAAACTATAAGGACTGATTTACTCACATCAGACAACACAAACATTCAACATGAAACTATAAAGACTGATTTAGTCACATCAGACAACACAAACATCCAACATGAAACTATAAGGACTGATTCAGTCACATCAGACAACACAAACATCCAACATGAAACTATAAGGACTGATTTACTCACATCAGACAACACAAACATCCAACATGAAACTATAAAGACTGATTTAGTCACATCAGACAACCCAAATTCAATGAATATTTAAGAAGGCGAAGGAGGGAGAGGGAAATGAGGGCAGATATACTACAGCACCGTATCTGTCCATGGCGATCTTGTGAAGTCAGGCTATGTGATAGTAACACTGCCACATGTCTAACACAATCAATCAGTGCCATGGAGCTGTGTAGCAGTTATCTGGAACATACAGCTGGTCATCAATGTCAACTCATGCAGCTGTTCTAGCAGGCTATGTGATAGTAACACATCAATGTCAACTCATGCAGCTGTTCTAGCAGGCTATGTGATAGTAACACATCAATGTCAACTCATGCAGCTGTTCTAGCAGGCTATGTGATAGTAACACATCAATGTCAACTCATGCAGCTGTTCTAGCAGGCTATGTGATAGTAACATTGCCACATGTCTAACACAATCAATCAGTGCCATGGAGCTGTGTAGCAGTTATCTGGAACATACAGCTGGTCATCAATGTCAACTCATGCAGCTGTTCTAGCAGGCTCTGGAATATTTTCAACACTGGAGGAAGGAGAAGAAACAGCCAGACAAGAAAATGACCCCCTACTCGATTACACAGTGACCTAGAATGCGTTAAGACTTGACATTTCACAAACCACAAGCAAATATCTGCCATGAGATTATTACTACGGTGTCCAGCGGAATCAACAAAATGTATGATTAACTGTCTCTTGCTGGATATACAAGTGTAAAATATCTGGCTGGTAGGCCAAAAAAAAAAAAAAAAACAGGCCAAAAGATGTTCTCTATGAAAAGGTAAAACACCTACCCTGAGGTCGCCGGTGCCAGGAAAGTATTCTCCGTACTTGTGAAAGGACACAGTCATGACCCTGTCTGTAGTGTAGAAAGCTTCCTCCACACCGTCACCATGATGGATATCAATGTCCACATACAAGACTCTCTGGTGATACCTGCAACCCCAGAAACTACAATGTTACCTCTCTGGTGATAATTGCAACCCCAGAAACTACAATGTTACCTCTCTGGTGTTAACTGCAACCCCAGAAACTACAATGTTACCTCTATGCACTTTGCTGTCTGTTGGACTATACTACAATGGCTTTCTTGCCAGAATATATAAAAATAAACTCAGTTGGAACCTAAATCCAATCAAGAAGACATCTTATGCATAAACAGCCAGCAGATGCTAGGTGATTGATTGACACCTTTTCAGACGATGGTGTTATACTGGGCTATGAGGAGGCATGGGACTCACAGCCCGTGGCGATGGTGAGTGACTAGCAAGACCTGCCCGCATTAAGAACAGTTTTCCACTATAACATGGGGTTTCAGGAACATTGTAATCAACATTTGTGTTTAGTCCGCTCAGCTCTCATCCTTTCTGCAATCATTTGTTCCTTTATTCTTATTACCTTCCTGATGTGCCCCAGCCACACAACACGGTCCATGGCATGTTGTTACCAAGAGTCCACCCCAATACCTGTATTATTCATGTCCAGCTTGCATTATATCTTAGCAGAGATCAGTCTCGACATCTTCTACCTGCCACTTAATGCCAAGTAAAATGCCAGGCACACACTATGCTGTGCACAGACTGGCAACATCAGCAAAAACCCATGCTTAGAAAGAGTTGTCTGACATACTTGAGCAACTCCAGGATTCCCAGGACAATGTCATTGACATAGCAAAACCCAGAGGCCTCAGACTTCTTGGCATGGTGGAGTCCTCCTGCCCAGTTGATGGCAATGTCTGCTGCCTGTTTGTTCAGTTTGACAGCTCCGGCTGAGGGAAGACAATCATATAATATAGTTTACAGCAGCAAACTTTGCTAAAGTCACTTACACATGTCTGACAAGTTAACTGAGTTTAGAAGTAATGTTACAGAAAGCTGGAAGAAGGGGTAGAGAGTATGGGCAATTCAACTAAAGAAACCAGTGGGTAGAGAGTACGGGCAGTTCAACTAAAGAAACCAGTGGGTAGAGAGTACGGGCAGTTCAACTAAAGAAACCAGTTGGTAGAGAGTACAGGCAGTTCAACTAAAGCAGCGAGTGGGTAGAGAGTAGAGGCAGTTCAACTAAAGCAGCGAGTGGGTAGAGAGTATGGGCAGTTCAACTAAAGCAACGAGTGGGTAGAGAGTATGGGCAGTTCAACTAAAGCAACGAGTGGGTAGAGAGTACGGGCAGTTCAACTAAAGCAACCAGTGGGTAGAGAGAACGGGCAGTTCAACTAAAGCAACGAGTGGGTAGAGAGTATGGGCAGTTCAACTAAAGCAACAGGTGGGTAGAGAGTATGGGCAATTCAACTAAAGCAACGAGTGGGTAGAGAGTACGGGCAGTTCAACTAAAGCAACGAGTGGGTAGAGAGTATGGGCAATTCAACTCAAGCAACGAGTGGGTAGAGAGTACGGGCAGTTAACGAGTGGGTAGAGAGTACGGGCAGTTAACGAGTGGGTAGAGAGTACGGGCAGTTCAACTAAAGCAACGAGTGGGTAGAGAGTACGGGCAGTTCAACTAAAGCAACGAGTGGGTAGAGAGTACGGGCAGTTCAACTAAAGCAACGAGTGGGTAGAGAGTAAGGGCAGTTCAACTAAAGCAACGAGTGGGTAGAGAGTAGGGGCAGTTCAACTAAAGCAGCGAGTGGGTAGAGAGTACGGGCAGTTCAACTAAAGCAACGAGTGGGTAGAGAGTACGGGCAGTTCAACTAAAGCAACGAGTGGGTAGAGAGTACGGGCAGTTCAACTAAAGCAACGAGTGGGTAGAGAGTACGGGCAGTTCAACTAAAGCAGCGAGTGGGTAGAGAGTATGGGCAGTTCAACTAAAGCAACGAGTGGGTAGAGAGTACGGGCAGTTCAACTAAAGCAACGAGTGGGTAGAGAGTAGGGGCAGTTCAACTAAAGCAACGAGTGGGTAGAGAGTAGGGGCAGTTCAACTAAAGCAACGAGTGGGTAGAGAGTAGGGGCAGTTCAACTAAAGAAACGAGTGGGTAGAGAGTAGGGGCAGTTCAACTAAAGCAACGAGTGGGTAGAGAGTACGGGCAGTTTAACTAAAGCAGCATCAACAAAATTGTGCTATGCCTATGCCAGAGAGCTAAAGTTTAAAAGCTATTAAATATAATAAAACTGCCAACTTATTCTAAACTACTACGCCGTGGTGTATCGGCTAAATGCTTGCCTGAGTTTAGATCCTAAAGGAGCTTGATTTTGTTTTTTAAATGACCTTGGCTGCCACGTCAACCCAGCTTTAAATGGGTACCAGGTACAGTTATTGGAAGTAAAGGTACCAACTGGTCTTTTAATATGTCTAGCCCTATATGCCCAATACACCTGAAGGTGTGGAAAATGGCCCTGTACTTACTACTCTAGTTTACTACCAGTACACACGACACTGTCAGAAACCTGGTCATGCTTGTTTTTCCAAAATTTCATCATAATTGAAACTATTTACTATCCAAAAGATTTTGCGATGATGGTGAGAGCAGAACTAAGATCCATTAAATGATGAATAAATGTTTTTTCAGACACCAGTGATCACACTGTTTTGTACTATTTGTTGTTTGAGCTTTAATGTTGAAAACTGCAGACAAATGTCTGGTTGTGCATCTAAGCAGGTTTTATGTTTTGTTCTGGCAGATGTATAAGTGGGGAGTACCACTTCGCTGGTAAATATATATATTGTTAAGAAAGGCACCGATACTTATTTCTTCCTTCTCATACAAGGTTTTTGAATTAATGCAGCCTAAATCTCCCACAGACTGTCCTTACTTTCATGTTAATTTCATAAATGATGCTATTTTTTGTAAGAGGGAAACAATATTGTCCCCCCTCCCCCCCTCCCCCCCAATACTCAAACCAATAAATGTTTCCTCTGAAAAGAAGAAACTTTACTGTTTGCCCTAAAAAAAATGTCCTGCCTGTCCTTGATAAGACTCAAATTCATTTTTGCAAAAATGTTGAACAAATACTTCACTTGGCACACTGTCTCTATCATGGTAAGACTGTAAAAGCACCTGTGTCAATCATCCAATGTTCAGTAATATAACTGATACACAACTATATAGCACAATAACAACAAATGAGGTAACAACAGTCGCAAACAGGTAAATGTAGAGAAGAGACATGAGAATGGCTCAACAGTTACAATCAGAAAGCTCAACAGTTACAATCAGAAAGCTCAACAGTTACAATCAGAAAGCTCAACAGTTACAATCAGAAAGCTCAACAGTTACAATCAGAAAGCTCAACAGTTACAATCAGAAAGCTCAACAGTTACAATCAACATCCACTGTGAAGTGACCTGCATGAGATGGCTCAGAAAGTGCAACAGTCAATATTCACTGTCAAGTGACTGCAGACTGATTCCCTAAGTGGTTTGACCCCTCCCCTTCAGACTGATTCCCTAAGTGGTTTGTCCCCTCCAGACTGATTCCCTAAGCGGTTTGTCCCCTCCCCTCCAGACTGATTCCCTAAATGGTTTGACCCCTCCCCTCCAGACTGATTCCCTAAATGGTTTGACCCCTCCCCTCCAGACTGATTCCCTAAATGGTTTGACCCCTCCCCTCCAGACTGATTCCCTAAGTGGTTTGACCCCTCCCCTCCAGACTGATTCCCTAAGTGGTTTGACCCCTCCCCTCCAGACTGATTCCCTAAATGGTTTGACCCCTCCCCTCCAGACTGATTCCCTAAGTGGTTTGACCCCTCCCCTTCAGACTGATTCCCTAAGTGGTTTGTCCCCTCTAGACTGATTCCCTAAGCGGTTTGTCCCCTCCCCTCCAGACTGATTCCCTAAGTGGTTTGTCCCCTCCAGACTGATTCCCTAAGTGGTCTGTCCCCTCCAGACTGATCCCCTAAGTGGTTTGTCCCCTTCCCTTCAGATTGATCCCCTAAGTGGTTTGTCCCCTTCCCTTCAGATTGATCCCCTCAAGTGGTTTGTCCCCTTCCCTTCAGATTGATCCCCTCAAGTGGTCTGTCCCCTCCAGACTGATCCCCTCAAGGGGTCTGTCCCCTCCAGACTGATCCCCTCAAGGGGTCTGTCCCCTCCAGACTGATCCCCTCAAGGGGTCTGTCCCCTCCAGACTGATCCACTAAGTGGTCTGTCCCCTCCAAACCGCTATCTGAAGTTTTACAAACCTGAGATTTAAAAGAATCTCAACTTGGCAGCAGACCAAGACCAACATGGCAGATCCCAGAAACCCTGTGTAATCTTGCATAAGTAATAACTAGGGCAGCTCTCATGGCTACAAGAGCCATCTCTTAACATGCAATCCTGCACACGCCAGGACAAGCCATCTCTTGTTGTGTTTGCAGCTCACAATGACAGGCAACCAATAGAGAACATTTTTTGTGCAGCTCAACAAAGAAAACCAAAAGTACTCACCCACAGATCCACCAGTGGACAGCTGACAGAACTCATACATGCCATCAAAGACTGGGCAGTCTTCACCAACGTTAACTGTAACACAAGGTCAAGATGTCCTACTGTAACAAATGTCCAAATGCTAGCTGTCTAATCTACCTGACAATGATTGAGCAGCCATGACAGAGTAGACAGACATGAAATCACAAACGTATCAGCTACAACCTCTTCTTCTTGGTATTCACTGTAAACTCTGGCGGAAAGTTCTGGTTGTTCATCCACTCTAGGGACTTTGGTCTTGATACAGAACGGGTTCTGCAGATCTAGCTTATCTGTGTGCAGATTGTTGGTTCCTTGCCTCAGGCAGATGCATCTTACTTTAAAGACAGCAACCCCCCCCCCCCCTAACTGTACACCTTCTGCAACATGCTCATTACGAGATAGTTGGTCTATACTGTTATATAAAATAAAGCCGTGGATCCCACACAGGTAACAATTAGCTAGAACAACAATATATATAATGCTGGCTGGAAGCAACAGTGTCTGTTCCTGTGGTTTGTATAGTATGGCTCTCAATGCACCAAGACAGCTATAGAAGTGTACCAGCTTTCAAACAGAGTAGACACAGAAAGTTTAGAGAGTAAAGAATCTGTAGCAGTGACGGAGAGAACCACCAGACAGTGCAGTTTCACAGGCCAGGCATGGAGCTGTTGAGGAAAAGATTGGAGCACCCGTGGATCTGTCCAGAGTGTAGTGCTGGTAACCTTTCTAACCACTGAACAACAAAGACTGGGTAATCACAACTGCTTGATTATAACAGCAAGGATCAAAGTTACTCTCACCTACAGGTCTTAAAAGTTACTCTCACCCACAGGTCTTAAAAGTTACTCTCACCCACAGGTCTTAAAAGTTACTCTCACCCACAGGTCTTAAAAGTTACTCTCACCCACAGGTCTTAAAAGTTACTCTCACCTACAGGTCTTAAAAGTTACTCTCACCCACAGGTCTTAAAAGTTACTCTCACCCACAGGTCTTAAAAGTTACTCTCACCCACAGGTCTTAAAAGTTACTCTCACCCACAGGTCTTAAAAGTTACTCTCACCTACAGGTCTAAACGTTTTTAAAGTTGCACCCTCTTGGATCTAGAGCAATACCCCCTCACTGGAGACAAGCAGAGACAACAACTGGGAACTGCTGGCTTCCACAAAAGGACAATGTAAACCTAAAAGACTGCAACAGCTGTTTGGCAGGGTCTGGGTTGTGCCAAAAACCCTTCCCTAAAGTAGGTCATGTGGCCACCCAAAGACTACAACAGCGGCTTGGCAGGGTCTTGGTGGTGACAAAAATCTACCCTAAATTAGATCAGGTCGCCGCCCAAAGACAGCAACAGCGGCTTGGCAGGGTCTGGGTTGTGGCAAGCATCCTACCTTAAAGTAGGTCATGTCGCCACCCAAAGACAGCAACAGCTGCTTGGCAGGTTTTAGGTTGTGGCAAAAATCCTACCCTAAAGTAGGCCATGTCGCCACCCAAAGACTACACATATGGGATTATTTCAGATATGTATCTGATTGTGACATCTGACCAAAATGTTTGATGGCAGACAATGTAAAGGAGTTTTGTTATCTGTATTGGGAGGCTGACAGTTCTATGTCTTGTTCAGACTGATTTTCTTTTTTCAGGTTGAATAAAATAAGGTTCTATCAAGTTAGAAATATAAGATTGCTTAATGGTAGTTTCTGTTGAAGTACAACATAAGGAAGATTATACAACTGGTGACTGTACCAAAGCAGGGCTTATGTACGTTTACAGGGTCCTGTGCTAAGAGGACAAAATAAGGTTCAGATGAAATGGGAAAAAGTCAGGCTGTGCTTAATGAGGACAAAATGGGTTTTAGATGAAATGGGGAAAAGTCACAAGTACAACGATTGTGCCCAAACTCACATCTTTGCATCTGCTTATTGTACTCAGCCATGTTGTCAGGTCGTATGCTGCGGAGAAACTTGATGTAGTCATCACTGTGGAACTTGGTCATTTCCTCAGCCGTGGCTTTGTGTGGCCTCTATGATTACAGAAATCATGTTGATTAAATAAGTGGCTTTGTGTGGTCTCTATGATTACAGAAATCATGTTGATACAATAAGTGGCTTTGTGTGGTCTCTGTGATTACAGAAAACATGTTGATAAAATAAGTGGCTTTGTGTGGTCTCTATGATTACAGAAATCATGTTGATAAAATAAGTGGCTTTGTGTGGTCTCTATGATTACAGAAATCATGTTGATAAAATAAGTGGCTTTGTGTGGTCTCTATGATTACAGAAATCATGTTGATACAATGAGTGGCTTTGTGTGGTCTCTGTGATTACAGAAATCATGTTGATAAAATAAGTGGCTTTGTGTGGTCTCTATGATTACAGAAATCATGTTGATAAAATAAGTGGCTTTGTGAGGTCTCTGTGATTACAGAAATCATGTTGATAAAATAAGTGGCTTTGTGTGGTCTCTTATGATTATAGAAATCATGTTGATTAAATAAGTGGCTTTGTGTGGTCTCTGTGATTACAGAAATCATGTTGATACAATGAGTGGCTTTGTGTGGTCTCTGTGATTACAGAAATCATGTTGATACAATGAGTGGCTTTGTGTGGTCTCTATGATTACAGAAAACATGTTGATAAAATAAGTGGCTTTGTGTGGTCTCTATGATTACAGAAATCATGTTGATAAAATAAGTGGCTTTGTGAGGTCTCTGTGATTACAGAAATCATGTTGATAAAATAAGTGGCTTTGTGTGGTCTCTTATGATTATAGAAATCATGTTGATTAAATAAGTGGCTTTGTGTGGTCTCTATGATTACAGAAATCATGTTGATAAAATAAGTGGCTTTGTGAGGTCTCTGTGATTACAGAAATCATGTTGATACAATGAGTGGCTTTGTGTGGTCTCTATGATTACAGAAATCATGTTGATAAAATAAGTGGCTTTGTGAGGTCTCTGTGATTACAGAAATCATGTTGATAAAATAAGTGGCTTTGTGTGGTCTCTTATGATTATAGAAATCATGTTGATTAAATAAGTGGCTTTGTGTGGTCTCTATGATTACAGAAATCATGTTGATAAAATAAGTGGCTTTGTGAGGTCTCTGTGATTACAGAAATCATGTTGATACAATGAGTGGCTTTGTGTGGTCTCTGTGATTACAGAAATCATGTTGATACAATGAGTGGCTTTGTGTGGTCTCTGTGATTACAGAAAACATGTTGATAAAATAAGTGGCTTTGTGAGGTCTCTGTGATTACAGAAAACATGTTGATAAAATAAGTGGCTTTGTGTGGTCTCTTATGATTATAGAAATCATGTTGATTAAATAAGTGGCTTTGTGTGGTCTCTATGATTACAGAAATCATGTTGATACAATAAGTGGCTTTGTGTGGTCTCTTATGATTACAGAAATCATGTTGATACAATAAGTGGCTTTGTGTGGTCTCTATGATTACAGAAAACATGTTGATAAAATAAGTGGCTTTGTGTGGTCTCTTATGATTATAGAAATCATGTTGATTAAATAAGTGGCTTTGTGTGGTCTCTATGATTACAGAAATCATGTTGATACAATAAGTGGCTTTGTGTGGTCTCTATGATTACAGAAATCATGTTGATACAATAAGTGGCTTTGTGTGGTCTCTTATGATTACAGAAATCATGTTGATAAAATAAGTGGCTTTGTGTGGTCTCTATGATTACAGAAATCATGTTGATAAAATAAGTGGCTTTGTGAGGTCTCTGTGATTACAGAAATCATGTTGATTAAATAAGTGGCTTTGTGTGGTCTCTATGATTACAGAAATCATGTTGATAAAATAAGTGGCTTTGTGTGGTCTCTATGATTACAGAAATCATGTTGATACAATAAGTGGCTTTGTGTGGTCTCTTATGATTATAGAAATCATGTTGATACAATAAGTGGCTTTGTGTGGTCTCTATGATTACAGAAAACATGTTGATACAATAAGTGGCTTTGTGTGGTCTCTATGATTACAGAAAACATGTTGATAAAATAAGTGGCTTTGTGTGGTCTCTTATGATTACAGAAAATATGTTGATAAAATAAGTGGCTTTGTGTGGTCTCTATGATTACAGAAATCATGTTGATACAATAAGTGGCTTTGTGAGGTCTCTATGATTACAGAAATCATGTTGATACAATAAGTGGCTTTGTGTGGTCTCTGTGATTACAGAAAACATGTTGATAAAATAAGTGGCTTTGTGTGGTCTCTATGATTACAGAAATCATGTTGATAAAATAAGTGGCTTTGTGTGGTCTCTATGATTACAGAAATCATGTTGATACAATGAGTGGCTTTGTGTGGTCTCTGTGATTACAGAAATCATGTTGATACAATGAGTGGCTTTGTGTGGTCTCTGTGATTACAGAAATCATGTTGATACAATAAGTGGCTTTGTGTGGTCTCTATGATTACAGAAAACATGTTGATAAAATAAGTGGCTTTGTGTGGTCTCTATGATTACAGAAATCATGTTGATAAAATAAGTGGCTTTGTGAGGTCTCTGTGATTACAGAAATCATGTTGATAAAATAAGTGGCTTTGTGTGGTCTCTTATGATTATAGAAATCATGTTGATTAAATAAGTGGCTTTGTGTGGTCTCTATGATTACAGAAATATTGTTGATAAAATAAGTGGCTTTGTGAGGTCTCTGTGATTACAGAAATCATGTTGATACAATGAGTGGCTTTGTGTGGTCTCTGTGATTACAGAAATCATGTTGATACAATGAGTGGCTTTGTGTGGTCTCTGTGATTACAGAAATCATGTTGATACAATAAGTGGCTTTGTGTGGTCTCTTATGATTATAGAAATCATGTTGATACAATAAGTGGCTTTGTGTGGTCTCTGTGACTACAGAAATCATGTTGATACAATGAGTGGCTTTGTGTGGTCTCTGTGATTACAGAAATCATGTTGATACAATAAGTGGCTTTGTGTGGTCTCTTATGATTACAGAAATCATGTTGATACACAATGAGTGGCTTTATGATGTCATGTGGTCTCTCTATGATTACAGAAATCATACAGAAATCATGTTGATACAATGAGTGGCTTTGTGTGGTCTCTGTGATTACAGAAATCATGTTGATACAATGAGTGGCTTTGTGTGGTCTCTGTGACTACAGAAATCATGTTGATACAATGAGTGGCTTTGTGTGGTCTCTGTGATTACAGAAATCATGTTGATACAATGAGTGGCTTTGTGTGGTCTCTGTGATTACAGAAATCATGTTGATACAATAAGCCTAAAGACTTCAAGACAGGCTGAACAGACACCAACATCGATGTCTGCAAAGGTTAGGAATGTGTTGCCCTGCCACTGTAGAAAGTATTACTGCAGCTATGATATCACCAATAACCTTAACATTCAGAAGACATGAGTGTCCACATAGAAGAATTAACCCTTTCACCTCAGAAATGCTTTAAAAAACACACAGACTGAGTGGTCTTGTTACAAACCAACCACTTGACACAGGTCACTAATAAAATATTTTTGAAAACAATAATCTACAGTTGAGAAACAAACTCTGGAAATACATAAAGGCAGTAATCGACAAACAAGAAGTCACGCAGTGATGCATGACCTCATCAGAATTATAACTCAGGCTACAGGCAATAACGATGTCAAAATGGCTCTAAATGTGAACCCCTGTAAATACTATGTGTATGACATACATTGACATCCAGACAGGCGCACACATAACCCACAACCATTCATCAGTCTTCTCAGGAACAAGCCATAGCAGAAATACTGGGTCAGCTGCATTTACGTGAATCAGTCACAGTCGGAAATGTCAGGTTTATATCTTCTCAGAGTGACAGAGTTAAAGACAGTTTGCCCTTGCTTTCTCCTTCTGTGCCGTGTCCACGGTGATGGTAAACCACTGAGGTCTGCGAAAACATTAGGTGCTGAGGCCTCAATCTCTCCAACCGTTGTCCAAAACCCATGAGCTCTACTTTTTTTTTTGGGTCGTCCACTGCAGGAGATGAACCGTTGTACTAGAGGAACATGAAACTGTAAACACTCACTACCTCTAAGCAAAGGAGCCTCACTCGTCCTTGCTAAGCAACTCTTTAAGTGTATTATTTGAGTATCAGTACAAACAAAGCATCACTATACACTGTACCACTGCCATCTGTCCCTACCCAAAACTAAACTGATAACTAAGCCCAGCATTGAACTGCCACCCTCTGAAAGGTTAAAACCAGTGCAAATGGTAAACAAAATATAACAACATTCACTTACATAAATTTCCATTTTCCGATAAAGGCCGTAATTGAGGATGAGGTTGTGGGTCATCCTTATGCGATGTGGTTTCATGGGATGTCCCTGGCCGTAGTAGTAGTTGCCAACATCACCTGGTGACAACAATCATCACAACGCAAACTAGTAATAGTCTTAATGTTGTTTCCTATGTGGGTTCCTGGGCCTCACTGTGCTGGCAATTAAAAGACTTTCCCTTAACAAGCAGGTCGTAAATTCAGGGTTAGCCAAAATTGACGAGTTTGGTTGAAAAGCACAGATACTGCGGACCAGCAGTACATTACAAAATATGACAACCGGCCTTTTATGGGCAAAAACAAGAAGAATATGTTGGCAGCAACGGTTACATCAGAAATCAGCGGTTTTAATTTTAGTCTGTGTCTGAAGATTCTCCATCATGTGAGGCTAGTTATACAAGTTATCAGTTTGATGAATATTTACAATCTTATAAGTCATAAAAACCTACATTTTTAAGGACTGAAAGAAACAAATGCCACTCCAGAGGTTTATCAATACTATCAAAGTTATTTTTATGACCAGACAACAACCCGACGGCGTGTTGCATTTTTTTATTTGATCTGGGCAACAACAAAAATAACACAGAAAAGGGAATATGCACTCACGCTAATCTTTGTCACATTTTTTGATTAACCATTTCACCCAATATGATTCTTAAAAATCCCCCCCCCCCTTTCCCCAACTACTTTCGTTTAAAAAAATGTATTCTTATAATTGAGTGAAACTCTCCCCTAGGAAACTAGAAAAGAAAAACAAGCAGAAGAAACTGCCTGTCTTGCCAGCGGGTTGAACATCAAATCCCCCGAGAAGACAGACAGGCCAGCTTCTTTAATGAGATCAGATCAAGTCACACAACATTTGTAGACAAGAGTTTCCAGTCACTAAATGTCTCAACTGGGAACAAAATTACTTGTTAACCACTAGATACAAACGCAGCCTCAATGCTTTTGGTTATTATGATGGATAGACGTGTTTTCTTTTTAGTCAGGGCAAGCTTTTACTTCTCACAATAGTTAGCCATTGCATTTGTCTCCATATACAGACTGATAGGATATAGTTCTGTCACCTAGCTACTGAGTTGAGTGCATGGTGCTACACTGTGAGCTGCCAATTTCCATTTGGAATACTTGTTGACTGTTCCCGACATGGTTTGTGTTGTGAATTGATGATTTAGAAAATGGTGAGTGGCCTGTTGGCTGTATTTTTGAATGTGTTATGATTGTTTATGTATGATCGTGTGTGTATGAATGAATAGGTATCTTACAGATGTATCTATGCGAGTATGCGTGTTGTTATACATAAGTTTATGTATCCGCATGAATGAGTGGGTGTGCAGTATGTATATGTGTACGCGTAAATATATGTGTGTGTGTGTGTGAGTATGTATGAGTGTATGTGAGTGATTGTGTATGCAGGCATTTAGAATCCATGCTTTTGTGTCTTCCGAGATATTTATATTATGCATATTGTTATTTAAACACAACATGCTTTATTGTTGTGTGAAAGATGAGTGTCTGGAAAGACTGAATGTAAGATAAATGTGTGACCCTTTAAAAATAAAGTAATGTTTGTTTAGTCTAGCAGTGCTCTATGTAATTAATTGCATTTGCAACTAATGATCTGTTGTAACGTCTGCTGCTCATGAGGACACATTTCATATGACTGGATTTGCTGAAGCTGCAGTCTGTGTCAGCTTATTCACAATGGACAGTGGTGGGCATTTGCGTGGTTATCGTTGATGCAGGAAGACAGCAATGATGGGGTGACCTGTTTGCTCGGCCTGCTTGATTATCGTTGAAGCAGGTAAACTGCAATGAAGGAGTGACCTGTTTGCTCGGCCTGTGTGATTATCGTTGACGCAGGAAGACAGCAATGAAGGGGTGACCTGTTTGCTCGGCCTGCATGATTATCGTTGACGCAGGTGAACAGCAATGATGGGATGACCTGCTTGCTCGGCCTGCGTGATTATCGTTGACGCAGGTAAACAGCAATGAAGGGGTGACCTGTTTGCTCCACCTGCTTGATTATCGTTGATGGGGTGACCAGTGTGGACTAGTTCTCAGGAAGTGAGCCTGCAGTTCAAAAGCCCTGCTCTAAGTCACAGAGTGACACAATACGGCAGAATGCTAACAATGATGCTACACCTCTGTGGGCTGGTTTTCACGAAGTGGGCCTGCAGTTTTAAAAGCCCTGCTTTAAGTCACAAAGTGACACAACATAAGACTGTTGAATGCTTTCACTGTGAGGTGAAGTGCTGACAGTCAATTTTTGCGGAACCTGGTCCAGTTACTAATCAACAGGAGCCCCAGGAGTGTCTAGCACTATTCATTGAATTCACAGAATAATTTTGATTTAAAACGGAATATTTTCTAGTCACAGTTGCTCAGTTTAATCAATTATATTTTCTTTGTCAATCACAAACTTTCTCAAACTCAATCACAATCTTTCTTATGATGATCCTGCAAGCAAAGGAAATCTACTGGATCTGCATCTACTATGGAGTTGATCAGACAAGCCAAACAAATGATTTTGAGTCTCAACCTTAACAAATGCTTGGCACTGCTTGAGTCTTAACCTAAACAAATGCTTTAAGTGCCTGAGTCTCAACCTAAACAAATGCATTAAGTGCCTGAGTCTCAACCTAAACAAATGCTTCAAGTGCTTGAGTCTCAACCTAAACAAATGCTTTAAGTGCCTGAGTCTCAACCTAAGCAAAACAAATGCTTTAAGTGCTTGAGTCTCAACCTAAACAAATGCTTCAAGTGCTTGAGTCTCAGCCGACCAATGCACAGCGGCATACTACTTTCACTAACTACTCACTACATTACTCATACTGGAGCCACTAGTCGCCTCTTACAACTGTGTTGCCTGTTCATAGTTCAGTAGCAGTTGAGTCAGTTAATCACATCTTTATACATGTTATAATTCATCAATTCAGCTGCTAAGATTAAAGATGGCAGTGTGAAATTTAATAATGAATAATGATAATATAATGAAATCAGTCTATTCCTTTTCTTGTCAAATTACTGGTTTCACATTTGTCTAAAAATATTTCTATTACATATATATATTTTTTCAACACCTAAACTAATACACACATATCATATAAATAAAAACAAAATCAAAAAAAAAAAAAGATCAGTGGAGTGAGACCAAAAACAGAAGGTTATTAAAACCGAGATGTGTTTCACAAAACGTGTTTCAAATTGCAAATCATTTACACTTATGTTTTCATAATGGCTGGTCGGCACATGAGACGGAAAACGGTGTGCCATACTTTTGCCAAAAAGTGGATTTGATTTATTTTTTAACATTCCGGTTAGAAATGTTTCATCCGTACTTCAGGAACATGCCGAAAACGGGCTAAAGAGATCAAACAAAAACACCGGAGAGAGAAAATATCGGTAATTATGCCATTGTTTGCAGATTTTCTGACCGTGAAGATGGTGTTCCGTACTTTTCAAAGCATTTCCATTGTTAGCCGACTGATGTTGGGCAGACCCGACGCTGACGAGAAGGCTTCTGACTACTTGTTTGATTTGAAAATATCTTAAATAACCACAGATTAAAATTTTTCGAGTTATTTTATGATATAATTTAGATACACACCAAAAATATCAATAATTTAAACAACTGAAACTTCAAGTCCCAGAGCTCCCATAACCATTAAAAAATGCGCCTGCGGGAGACACAACCCTGGCCACTGCGACTCGGTGATATATTTGTCTTTTTTCTCCACAAATAATGAACAAAAAAAATAAATAGATAAATTGAGTGAACTCACCATCATAGTAGTAGCAGATTTTGCGTTTAGGCAGAGAAGAAGCCATGGTTTGAAGAGAAAGTTGTGGTGGGAAAGTGTGTGTGTAGCTGCCAGCGAGCAGCGGTCTGGGATCGTTTGACGCCAACACACGGACAGCGCCACCTGGCGGTCAGGGGCACACCACCCACTCACACACACGTCTGTTCCACGGGCGGCGGCTACTTGCCCTTGTCTGGCTCCCAGCGACGTGAGGGACTGCAGGCCGTTCGTCGACATCATCGTGTGCCGTGCCGACCAGCGCCATCTCATCATCCCCATTCTCAAGGATCAGGTCTAAGTTATTGTCACGTGCATGCCATACGGCTAAACGATGCATGTATTTATCTCTTTATCGTTTCCTTGCTATTTTTTTTTTCTATAACGATTGCTAGTTATCGCTCAAAATTCGAGTTTAATCACATGCCTACAAATCTTACCTGTCTAATTTCTCAACTAAGCGGGTGTACACCTGTTCCTTGGACTAGTGTCTTGTGTTATATTTCCGTTACGTGAGTGTGTTTTTCTAGTAACTTACTTGTAAGGAATAACTTCACACCGACTGGCTGACACGGCCAGTGGGGCTTGTAATGTTTACTTTGTTCAGCGTGTCATTTGATGTCATTTCCCCCGATACAATGGCTCCTCAACATCTACCGGTTATTGCACTTTGCTGTTTCAGTGGCAAAAGCCTTTCCCCATTAATATATCCAGATGAAGACACAAACAATGGATTTCACAAGATAGTGTCTGGCATACATCTTCTAGAAAGACTTTGTTTGCCGTTTTGCGCTGGCCTTCGTTTTTCTATTGTTTGCTCTCTCTCTGTCTCTCTCTCTCTCTCTCTCTCTCTCTCTCTCTCTCTCTCTCTCTTTCCTCCACCTCTATTGTTTCCTCTCTCTCTCCTTTTTCCTCGACCTCAATGGCTTCCTCTCTCTCTCTCTCTCTCTCTCTCTCTCTCTCTCTCTCTCTCTCTCTCTCTCTCTCTCTCTCTTTATTTCCCCTCTACCTCTATTGTTTTCACAGACTTTGTTTGCCGTGTTGCGCTGGCCTTCGTTTTTCTTCATGACACTCTATGTGTCTATTCTATGTAGCAGTGTAAGTATGTGTGTGTATTTAGGTATATATGCAAATATGTATGTATAATTGTGTGTATGTATGTATGTATGTATGTATGTATGTATGTATGTATGTATGTATGTATGTATGTATGTATGTATGTATGTATGTATGTATGTATGTATGTATGTATGTATGTATGTATGTATGTATGTATGTATGTATGTATGTATGTATGTATGTATGTATGTATGTATGTATGTATGTATGTATGTATGTATGTATGTATGTATGTATGTATGTATGTATGTATGTATGTATGTATGTATGTATGTATGTATGTATGTATGTATGTATGTATGTATGTATGTATGTATGTATGTATGTATGTATGTATGTATGTATGTATGTATGTATGTATGTATGTATGTATGTATGTATGTATGTATGTATGTATGTATGTATGTATGTATGTATGTATGTATGTATGTATGTATGTATGTATGTATGTATGTATGTATGTATGTATGTATGTACGTATGTCTGTATGTATGCACGTATGTATGTATGTATGCACGTATGTATGTATGTATGTATGTATGTATGTATGTATGTATGTATGTATGTATGTATGTATGTATGTATGTATGTATGTATGTATGTATGTATGTATGTATGTATGTATGTATGTATGTATGTATGTATGTATGTATGTATGTATGTATGTATGTATGTATGTATGTATGTATGTATGTATGTATGTATGTATGTATGTATGTATGTATGTATGTATGTATGTATGTATGTATGTATGTATGTATGTATGTATGTATGTATGTATGTATGTATGTATGTATGTATGTATGTATGTATGTATGTATGTATGTATGTATGTATGTATGTATGTATGTATGTATGTATGTATGTATGTATGTATGTATGTATGTATGTATGTATGTATGTATGTATGTATGTATGTATGTATGTATGTATGTATGTATGTATGTATGTATGTATGTATGTATGTATGTATGTATGTATGTATGTATGTATGTATGTATGTATGCAAGTATGTATGTATGTATCTAAAGATGTAGGTGTATGTATGGAATGAGTATGTGGGTGTCTGTACATGTGATTGTATGTGTGTGTATGCATGCATACATGTGTAGGTGTGTATGTATGGAATGAATGTGTGTGTGTGCATGTATGTGTGTTTGTTTTCTGTTTGTGCATTTATGTCTATGTATGGGTGTGTGTTTTCTGTTTGTGTATGTATGTAGATGCGTGTATGTATGTATTATGTATGTCTGTATATGAATGTGCATGTATGAGAATGTAAGAATATATATACGTGTGTGTGAGTGTGTAAGATTGTGTACACATGATGTGTGTATGCACTATTAAATAATGCATATTTCTTTATTATATCCATTACATGCATTATTGATAACAGGCATTGGTACTCTGAAAATGAGTGCTTAGAAGGGCCGAATGTCAGACGGGCCTGCGTGCCAAATTTGTAACCCTTTGAAAAGAAAGTTTGTTCGTTCGTTCGTTCGTTTTCTTTGTCTCCTCTTTCCTCAACCTCAATTGTTTCCTCTCTCACTCTCTCTCTCTCTCTCTCTCTATATATATATATATATATATATATATATATATATATATATATATATATATATATATATATATATGCCTCTTTCATCCATCTCTGTAGTTTCCTTTGTGGATTTTATAACTAATTTTTGTTATGTCGCATCATGTTTTGTTTTTGTAAGATTGTGTAAGATTGTGTACACATGATGTGTGTATGCACTATTAAATAATGCATATTTCTTTATTATATCCATTACATGCATTATTGATAACAGGCATTGGTACTCTGAAAATGAGTGCTTAGAAGGGCCGAATGTCAGACGGGCCTGCGTGCCCAATTTGTAACCCTTTGAAAAGAAAGTTTGTTCGTTCGTTCGTTCGTTTTCTTTGTCTCCTCTTTCCTCAACCTCAATTGTTTCCTCTCTCACTCTCTCTTTCTCTCTCTCTCTCTCTCTCTCTCTCTCTATATATATATATATATATATATATATATATATATATATATATATATATGCCTCTTTCATCCATCTCTGTAGTTTCCTTTGTGGATTTTATAACTAATTTTTGTTATGTCGCATCATGTTTTGTTTTTGTTTTGTTGTCTTATATGAAAGAAGAGAAATGTCATCAGCGAAGTTCAGCAAAGTTGTACGGAACTAAACGGGAATTCCAAAAAACAATAGAGTTTATCACAAGAAATTGTCTGTCGATGTCAATTAGAAAGCAAACACAAGAAGAAGAAGCTGGCCAAGGTGTAATTTAAGGGTTTACTTGATCCTATTCCTGGTATTGTAAGGGTTCACTGGATCCCATTCCTGGTAATAGATGTTGTTGTTTTCTTAATCCACTCTATTGGCAATAAAAATATAACAGGTGACAACTGGCATCTCATGGCACCCCTGTTTTTGTATCAAATCTATCTGTTCGTTGTCTCCCACGTGAAAAACTCAACATGTCATGTCTTTATTTGTTGTCTTGACTAAGTTAATATTGCCCCTTATCTATTTGTCAATGGTGTCAGTCGTTGTCATGGTCTCATCATCATCATGTAGCAGGTCATTTGCAGAACGTCGCTCTCATCGCGGTCTGCCTGAAAGAAACTCGGTCTCTCGCGGGCTCTCCCGCCTCATGCACTTTCATTCTCAAGGAGTCACTTATATTCTGTGCCCATCTTCGTGGCGGTCGGCCCCTGTCCCTCCTTCCTGGTACCGTGCCTTCTGCTATTATTGTTTCCAATCCGTCGTGACGCTTGATATGACCAAAATATTTCAGCTTCCGAGACAGGATGCTGTTTATCAGCCAATCTTCCTTGATGTTCAGATCTTTCAAGATGTCGGTATTTCTCCTCTTCTTTGTCCAAGATATTCTAAAAGTCTTTCTATAGCACTTTAGCACAAAAGCCCCTATTCTCTTTCTAAAGGCATGAGAGTTGTCCACGATTCACATCCGTATGTTGCTACAGGGAAGATGTGTGCTCTCAAAATTCGTATTTTAATCTCCTTAGTTAGTTAGTTGGTTAGTTAGTTAGTTAGTTAGTTAGTTAGTTAGTTAGTTAGTTAGTTAGTTGGTTGGTTGGTTGGTTGGTTGGTTGGTTGGTTGGTTGGTTGGTTGGTTAGTTAGTTAGTTAGTTAGTTAGTTAGTTAGTTAGTTAGTTAGTTAGTTAGTTAGTTAGTTAGTTAGTTAGTTAGTTAGTTAGTTAGTTGGTTGGTTGGTTGGTTGGTTGGTTAGTTAGTTAGTTAGTTAGTTAGTTAGTTAGTTAGTTAGTTAGTTAGTTAGTTAGTTAGTTAGTTAGTTGGGTTATCCTCATTGCACTCCGGACATGTCCATAGGTGCTCAGATCCTCCCCTCAGTATGAACCCCAACGTCCGATGGTTAATAGTACCAGTTCTATGTTGATTAACAAGTCTTCTAGCGTGTCTGGTGTGCGTCTCGTTTTTTTGCTCTGCCGATCCTAATTCCCAAGTCTGCCATTCTGGCGAGTGATGTGGATTCACTGCCACCAAAGTCCTCTATCCTTCCCATTTCTCGGAGGGCATTGATAATATCAGCATGATCCATAGGCTGACCGTCTCCTTGCTGGTGCTTAACCAAAGACCTTTAAGGCTGTTTAATCTTTGCACTGCTATGGCTATCCTCCTTTTAATTTCTTTCAAACAGTCTCCATTGCTGTTTATTATAAAGCCTAGATATTCAAAGTTTGTGACAATTTCAATTTCTTCATGATGTATTATTATTTTTATCTATGGAAATTATTTTCGTTTTCTTTAAGTTCAAGAACAGATTTTGATCTTCACTGTTTTTGGACATACAATATACAATTTCCTTTACGCTGTTCGAAATGAGGACTGTGTCATCTGCGTAGCGGAGTTCCGGAAT